GACGGGACAAGCATGGGTTTTTTTGAGTTAAGACCTGGTTAACTGTGCCATTACTTACTGTGGAGCCTTGGGTCAGTTGCTTAATTGTTCTGGACCCCTAGTATCTCATAATATTAATGGGGATATTATATGCCTACTTCAAGTGCTGCTTATGGTCATTGACAAATGGGAAAGCACTTTGCACAGTATTTGGCATCTAGTGGGCACTTGATAAATATTTCCCTTCCTATCATGTTGGCTTTTAGCCAACATCACCTAGCCTTAGTGCCTAATGAGTGATGGCTCTGTTTAGCTAGCATGGCTCTGTTTAGCTCTATATTTCCATGGTGCCCTCAATCCCATGCTACTCTGAGATTGACCATAGGGGCCTCTCAGCACCACCTGGGTAAGGGGAGCCTACGATGTGGCCAGAAACAGTAGTAACATGGTCCCTGGACTAATCTCTTCCCAGGACGAGAAGCTCACTGTGACCCAGGACCTCCCTGTGAACGATGGAAAACCTCACATCGTCCACTTCCAGTATGAGGTCACCGAGGTGAAGGTCTCTTCCTGGGATGCAGTCCTGTCCAGCCAGAGCCTGTTTATAGAAATCCCAGATGGAGTATTAGCTGATGGGAGCAAAGAAGGGTAAGGAGCAAGGGCTGGGGGAAAGGAAGGAGCAACTGGGGAAAGAGGTCCCATTCCAAAGAAAGGGATATGCTTATTAGAGCAGTAGGGAGTCTGCCTTCTTCCCTAGCTCTAGGCCTCCCAAGCAGATACCATTTTGAAACAGGTTATTTTTAGCCAGTAAAACAGGCCTGCTCTAGGTTATAATTAAAGCAGATCATTATCACATTAACCAAATCCCTGTCATTAATCACTCCATGGTTCACACTTCCCAGCAGACATTAAATCCTCCTTGAGCCACCATATAGTGGTGCAGTTCAAAAGGCCAGGAACCTCAGAGAGCCGATGGGCTTTCATTGTATGGGCGAGGCCCTCCACGCAAGTCAAGTGTGTGAGAAACAGTCCTGAGGACAGAGTTCTCTTGAGGAACTCCTTTTTGGCAGTGTTAGGGCTCAAGAGTCCCTCTCAGTGGCAGGTAGTCATTATCAAACTTGGCAACTTTGGAAGGCCCCTGAAAAACTGGGTTCTCTTCCCAGGCCCCACACTGTCTTGTGAATTGTATTAGTTAAGTTGGTCAGAGGAAGAACCCCTATTCCAGGAAGAGATAATCCAGTAACATTTTTCTTTTTCTAAAAAATTAATCCTTACCCGAGGATATTTTTTCCATTGAGTTTTAGAGAGAGTGGAAGGAAGGGGGAAAGACAGAGAAACACCAATGTGAGAGAGACATATCGATTGGTTGCCTCCTGCAACGTGCCTCAGTTGGGGCTGGGGATTGAGCCTGCAACCGAGGTACGTGCACTTGACGAGAATCGAACCCAGGACTCTTCAGTTCAAGAGCTGATGCTCTAACTACTGAGCCAAACCGGCTAGGGCTCCAAAAACATTTTCCTTAAAGATTGTAGCTTATTTTTTCTGAATTCAGAGCTCTTGGGGTCTTGAAATAGGAACTTTCTCCCTGAAGTTTCTCTATACTGTGGCTGTAAGCCTCAAAAAGCCTTTTTTGTGAGTAGTGGGTGGGAAGTCTAGAGAGGTGGTAGTGGGCCTGACTTCTTTCCTTCTTGCAGATTGTTAGCACTGCTGGAGTTTGCGGAAGAGAAGATGAAAGTGAACTACGTCTTCGTCTGCTTCAGGAAGGGCCGGGAAGACAGAGGTGAGGGGTTAAAGCAGCCTGAGTCCTACTTCCCAGAAAATGGGGTCTAGGGAGGGGGAGGGGGTTCCTATACAGTGAGGTGGGGCCCTTGAGTTTGCTACATAAACTTGGGCAGTCATGGAGGCTAGTGCCCAAAGGGTCTTTTAGTCAAGGACTAGTGCTTATTCATTCCATTTTTGTTTGGGGTTTTTCCTTCATTTGACCCTACCTTTGTGTTTCTTATTAAAATCCTTTTTACACTCTTATCTTTTGCAGCTCCACTCCTGAAGACCTTCAGCTTCTTGGGCTTTGAGATTGTACGTCCAGGCCATCCCTGTGTACCCTCTCGGCCAGATGTGATGTTCATGGTTTACCCCCTGGACCAGAACTTGCCCAATGAGCACTAATGGTCAGAGGATGCTTTGCCCAAGAGCCACAGTGGGGGAAGAGGGGAAGTTAGGCAGCCCTGGGACAGAGGAGGGGGCTCCTCGCTGTCTAGGGAAGGACGCTGAGGGGCTCAGGATGAGGGTTGCCTATTGTGTTCTTGGAGTTGACTCGTTGAAATTGTTTTCCATAAAGAACAGTATAAACATATTATTCACATGTAATCACCAATAGTAAATGAAGATGTTTATGAACTGGCATTAGAAGCTTTCTAAACTGCGCTGTGTGATGTGCTCTATCTAGCCTAGGGGGAGGACATTGCCTAGAGGGGGAGGGACTATCTGGGTCTGGGCCAAGACCTGGAGGGTTGGTGGGTAGCACTGTCAGGCTCAGGCTCCCCAGCTATTGGGCTTTCTTTTTGGTTTTTAAGACTTGTGTATTTTCTTTCCTTGCTTCCTTCCTGTTTTGAGTTAGGGAGACCTGGTTAACTGTGCCATTACTTACTGTGGAGCCTTGGGTCAGTTGCTTAATTGTTCTGGACCCCTAGTATCTCATATTTAAAATGGGGATATTATATGCCTACTTCAAGTGCTGCTTATGGTCATTGACAAATGGGAAAGCACTTTGCACAGTATTTGGCATCTAGTGGGCACTTGATAAATATTTCCCTTCCTATCATGTTGGCTTTTAGCCAACATCACCTAGCCTTAGTGCCTAATGAGTGATGGCTCTGTTTAGCTAGCATGGCTCTGTTTAGCTCTATATTTCCATGGTGCCCTCAATCCCATGCTACTCTGAGATTGACCATAGGGGCCTCTCAGCACCACCTGGGTAAGGGGAGCCTACGATGTGGCCAGAAACAGTAGTAACATGGTCCCTGGACTAATCTCTTCCCAGGACGAGAAGCTCACTGTGACCCAGGACCTCCCTGTGAACGATGGAAAACCTCACATCGTCCACTTCCAGTATGAGGTCACCGAGGTGAAGGTCTCTTCCTGGGATGCAGTCCTGTCCAGCCAGAGCCTGTTTATAGAAATCCCAGATGGAGTATTAGCTGATGGGAGCAAAGAAGGGTAAGGAGCAAGGGCTGGGGGAAAGGAAGGAGCAACTGGGGAAAGAGGTCCCATTCCAAAGAAAGGGATATGCTTATTAGAGCAGTAGGGAGTCTGCCTTCTTCCCTAGCTCTAGGCCTCCCAAGCAGATACCATTTTGAAACAGGTTATTTTTAGCCAGTAAAACAGGCCTGCTCTAGGTTATAATTAAAGCAGATCATTATCACATTAACCAAATCCCTGTCATTAATCACTCCATGGTTCACACTTCCCAGCAGACATTAAATCCTCCTTGAGCCACCATATAGTGGTGCAGTTCAAAAGGCCAGGAACCTCAGAGAGCCGATGGGCTTTCATTGTATGGGCGAGGCCCTCCACGCAAGTCAAGTGTGTGAGAAACAGTCCTGAGGACAGAGTTCTCTTGAGGAACTCCTTTTTGGCAGTGTTAGGGCTCAAGAGTCCCTCTCAGTGGCAGGTAGTCATTATCAAACTTGGCAACTTTGGAAGGCCCCTGAAAAACTGGGTTCTCTTCCCAGGCCCCACACTGTCTTGTGAATTGTATTAGTTAAGTTGGTCAGAGGAAGAACCCCTATTCCAGGAAGAGATAATCCAGTAACATTTTTCTTTTTCTAAAAAATTAATCCTTACCCGAGGATATTTTTTCCATTGAGTTTTAGAGAGAGTGGAAGGAAGGGGGAAAGACAGAGAAACACCAATGTGAGAGAGACATATCGATTGGTTGCCTCCTGCAACGTGCCTCAGTTGGGGCTGGGGATTGAGCCTGCAACCGAGGTACGTGCACTTGACGAGAATCGAACCCAGGACTCTTCAGTTCAAGAGCTGATGCTCTAACTACTGAGCCAAACCGGCTAGGGCTCCAAAAACATTTTCCTTAAAGATTGTAGCTTATTTTTTCTGAATTCAGAGCTCTTGGGGTCTTGAAATAGGAACTTTCTCCCTGAAGTTTCTCTATACTGTGGCTGTAAGCCTCAAAAAGCCTTTTTTGTGAGTAGTGGGTGGGAAGTCTAGAGAGGTGGTAGTGGGCCTGACTTCTTTCCTTCTTGCAGATTGTTAGCACTGCTGGAGTTTGCGGAAGAGAAGATGAAAGTGAACTACGTCTTCGTCTGCTTCAGGAAGGGCCGGGAAGACAGAGGTGAGGGGTTAAAGCAGCCTGAGTCCTACTTCCCAGAAAATGGGGTCTAGGGAGGGGGAGGGGGTTCCTATACAGTGAGGTGGGGCCCTTGAGTTTGCTACATAAACTTGGGCAGTCATGGAGGCTAGTGCCCAAAGGGTCTTTTAGTCAAGGACTAGTGCTTATTCATTCCATTTTTGTTTGGGGTTTTTCCTTCATTTGACCCTACCTTTGTGTTTCTTATTAAAATCCTTTTTACACTCTTATCTTTTGCAGCTCCACTCCTGAAGACCTTCAGCTTCTTGGGCTTTGAGATTGTACGTCCAGGCCATCCCTGTGTACCCTCTCGGCCAGATGTGATGTTCATGGTTTACCCCCTGGACCAGAACTTGCCCAATGAGCACTAATGGTCAGAGGATGCTTTGCCCAAGAGCCACAGTGGGGGAAGAGGGGAAGTTAGGCAGCCCTGGGACAGAGGAGGGGGCTCCTCGCTGTCTAGGGAAGGACGCTGAGGGGCTCAGGATGAGGGTTGCCTATTGTGTTCTTGGAGTTGACTCGTTGAAATTGTTTTCCATAAAGAACAGTATAAACATATTATTCACATGTAATCACCAATAGTAAATGAAGATGTTTATGAACTGGCATTAGAAGCTTTCTAAACTGCGCTGTGTGATGTGCTCTATCTAGCCTACGGGAAGGACATTGCCTAGAGGGGGAGGGACTATCTGGGTCTGGGCCAAGACCTGGAGGGTTGGTGGGTAGCACTGTCAGGCTCAGGCTCCCCAGCTATTGGGCTTTCTTTTTGGTTTTTAAGACTTGTGTATTTTCTTTCCTTGCTTCCTTCCTGTCACCCCAGGGGCTCCTGAGTATAGGCTTTGCAGCCCCATGCGCAAAAGTGTCCTCGAGTTGTTTTTTGACACTCCACCTGGGCTTCTCTGTGTGCATTTGTGTCCGGCCTGGAGAAAGCAGGTCTGACCCCCTCTTTACAGCTTAGTGTTTGTTATTCTGGCATTTGGTTAAACTGGCTTAATCTGTTAAATGTTATCAGTGCATTTTGAATAGGGGCATTCAAGTTCACTCCCACCACCAGGGCTTTGGGGTACCTGGGCCCTATAAAAGACTAGCCAAACTCCAATTCTCAGATCATGGCCAGGAGTTGTTGCTACTGGCTGCATGGCCTAGGCCCCAGCATCTCTCCTTCCTAGGGTCACAAAGCAGAGAGGAAGAGGAATAGCGACTCAGGGCCTGGGGATTGAGGGGGGAATCTGTTCCTAAGGACTGGATGCCTCTGCCTGGCTGATGTAGTGCTAACTGTACCTCCCCACCCCGCAATAGGTTCTGAATAGTGCCTGAGACCCTGCTCCACAGGGCCTGGGCGTGGGACTGGGGTAGTAGAGGTGGCCTGCCCTTTTCTGTTTTCAAGGTACAGCTTGTTCTAAGGGGAGAGGAGGGGAGAGAGATCTAGTCTGGGTGAGGGGGATGGGGGTGCCAGGGTGGCAAGTGTGTTGTGTTACAGTGTCAATAAACTGATTTAAAGTTGTGGTTGGTCTGTTTTTTATTCCTGCACCAGGACCAGCTTCCCACCACTACTGTCTTTCGAGTCTAGAGCCTGACCTCGTAGGGGCATGATGCATACTTCTCAGGTAAAAAGCTGCAGTGCGCCAGGACAGATGAACTGGCCGTCTCTGAACTGAGGTCTCTGGAGCCACATTACACTGTAAAATGTGGGGTTGCTAGGAGTCTGGGACATACTGCCAGAGCCCTTAGAGAGTCAGGTGTACACAGCAGCTTTGTTCAGAATAGAGGCTATACACCCAGGAGTCAAGTTCTTCATAGGTCTTCCTTTTGTATAGAAGGCTGGGTCCTGAAACCAGGTTCTGGCTTTTGCACCGAGCTGACATTCCCATTCCTGGAGGTGTCTGAAGGAAGCAGCACACGCCTTCCTTAGGAAGATGGTTTTCCCCACTTTGGAGCCCAATGCCCTGAGGCATGGCTGCCATTCTCCTGATGGAGGCATACCCCCAGTCTGATGATGAATAAGCTCTCAGTGGCAGTGAAAGGGCCACTTCACATATGACCTCTTACGGCTTATTACCATTTCTTTCCTCTTCTGTTTTCTCAGGTGAAGTGTGGGCCTGTTCTACCTCCTAGAGCTTTGGACCTATCTGCTGTTGAACTGTGGCTGTCTTTACTTTGAGTCTTTGGCCCATTTTAATATTGTTCTTTGTGAGGCTTGTTTTCACACTGGGCCAAGTCATTAACCTTGGACCCTACCTGTGCTAAGCTATTCATTAAAAGAAGTGAGCTTAGCACCTTCACCCCTCCACAGTGATTAGTGGAAGGTCAGCCTAGAGACATTGAATTGAAATAAGGACCTGAAGATGTCTCCACTGAGCAGATAACCCCTAGAGGCAGCAAAAAGGCAGTGACTGAAACACACGAGATTTAGAGCAGATCTACGTGAATGCTAACAATGGCCAAGTTAATGTAGGCAGTTCAGGTTTCAGATGTTAAAGTCAAACCCAAGGAATCTACAAGACAGGTGAAAAACCAAGACAAGACTCGGCCCTTTATTATCCCCAAAGCTAGCAGAGTGGACAGGAAACACATCAGATTTTGCTGCCATCTACTGGTGGATCCTCTTAAATACAGCCAGAATTTAATAAAATCAGAAACCCAGACACTCAGTTAAGATTTCCCTTTCAAAAAGATAAGGCCACTAAGAGGAAAGAAACATAGGTGCCCAAAATCTGCACTCCAATTAAAACGCAACTTAGAAGGTAGACTATTTTGGGGGATGATGGAGTGGGGGAGGGGAGATAATGTGAAAGGCAAACTAGTCTAAATTTAAGAACAGGGACATTAAAAACTTTATTCAATAAATACAAATAATTTAAAAATATAATTCAATTCCAAACTCAATTAAGAAAAGGAAGCAGCAAGGAAGGGGGAAAAACGGGGAGGGGAGGAGAAAATCATGGAAAGGAGAAAGTTCAAGAGGTGGAACAATGATTTGGTTGGGCTGTTTCAGAATGTACCACCCTTTGAAATTCTGATCAAATGCTCTTGACCCATAAACATTTAGGGCTTGTTCTGATCGGGTAGGCAGCCATAGGAATCCACCAGCAGGGAATGATTCTCTGGTATCTGGATTAGAGCACCCTGGAGGCTGGCATTGGGAGGTTTTTTCTGTTCTTAACTCCCAGGCAGGTTGAAATAGTGCAAACTCTTAGGCAAAGAGCTCCCCGCTGCATAGTTTTACAGGTGAGTGTCCAAAACCAGGGTTTCTGGGATGCCCCAGAATACCCAGGAGTCCAAAGCCACTTGGGTGAATGGGATCTAAGGGGAAGGAAGACAGGAGAGGCCAGGGCACAGGTTAAAGCTCCTGGGTAAGGCAGTGGCCAAGCTGGAAAACACTGCTGGGCAGGAAGGATTGCGGAGTAGGTAGTCTGGACATGGGATTCAACAACTTGCCATCAGCCAGGGAAGGTGGAGCTGAGGGTGCATATGGAGCAGGACCAGGAAGATAAGGAAAGCTGAGAGAGAATGGAAAGGTGGGGAGGAGGGAGGAGGCGGCAGCTCAGCAGCAAACTCCAGGAGAAATAACCAGCAGCCCTCACAGATTTGTGATTGTCTCTTAAAAAGATTTATTTTTCTCTTCTTGCCTGAATGTACAAAGGCAAAAAGAGTACAGTTTGTATAT